AATTGAGAAGATTTTTAAGGTTTTTCAAAATTCTCGTTCTCGGCGGCCACTCCTCAAATCAAACTGATTCTTTCACTGTCTGGTAGAACAACACTTACCCTTCAAAACCTATAAAGTCGCAACTGCGGAGGTCTTCAGCCAGCAGATTTGTATCACTGGAATGATTTTTCACGATTTTTCATAATTTCATCATTCGAAATTCTGGTTCTCGGCGGTTACTGCCTGGATCGACCTATTACATAGAAATATGCTCTTAATACTTCCTTTTACATTCCTTTTGCTTATTTTCCTTCTTTTGAGCTTTAGCAAAAAAATTTTCAAACCCAAAAGTGAAGGTGGTCACCCTGTACCAGCTCAAAAGTGAAGGTAGGCGGAGAGTCGGCTCCGACTATCGCACCTCTGGGCATAATGGGTCTCAAGAATATCCATAGCATCTGCGACTGTAGATGATAAATGTTCAAAGCTTTTCTAAACTCTAAAGTAGTTTGTCTACGCAGGTTTCGAAGATGTGGCTCGCTCTACCCCTTTTTGTCCCTTTTTGCTAAATCGAGGGCATACAAAAACTGGAGCCACGAATCAACCACTTCTAAATTTCCCTTCGCTTGGTGGCTCACGCCCACAAACCCAAATAATTTTTTGTCCCCCCCCCTGAAAAATTTATTGCACCGCCACTGCGTTAATGTATCTATCTATCCTTCTCTACTTCTCTGTTTTTGCTGTTCTAAGTGCTTTTCTCTTTCCCAGATACTTCCTACATCTTCAACGGATCTGCACATGTTTATTTTCGAATTCGTGTTTTCAATAGTACTTACTTGAAGTACCTTTCTGGAAGCAAGCTCCAAAAATAGAAGCCGGAGGGAAAAATTACTCCCTTCTCAAAATTTCTACGTTTAATCGTAAAACTGAACTCGCAACAGAGATCGGAGCATTATAATTTTAAAGCCTGCTCTTTCTGACTGTGCCAAGTTTGCGCTGATTGAACCTCTTTAGGAAAAGTTATGATTTTCGAAGCAAATGCCAAAAAATCATATTTACTCTTTTCAATGGCTTCCACAAAAATCATAACTTTTCAAGAGACGTTCAATCAGCGCAATCTTTGTAAACTCAAAAAGAGTAGGTAATAATAGCTATGATACCGATTGCTCCGATTTTCTGCAAGCAGATTTTTGCGATCAAACATGGGAAATATCAAAATGGAGTAATTTTCTTCACCGACTTCGATCTGTGGAGCTATCAAAAAGTGCCTCAGGTACCATTAGAAAGAGCATGTCTTCTTCCAAAATAAACATGTGCGGATAGGGTGTGAAGGAAGAAAGTTTTGTTTTTGAAAAGGATGGGGACGAGCTTTTGGCTCATTAGTATTATTTTCTAAGTAATAATTTATAAAAAATTCAACAATAATTTATAATAACTTTCCCTTACACATACCTGCCTTAGAGTCTGATACAAACCTGTTTTGCGTAGAAAATGCTGGAATATTAGATGCAAAAGTTCTGCCGCTCCAAATTTGAAAATTCCAAAATAATTTTAGTCGAAGTAAAGCTTTGATTTTTGCAGAAGACTCTTGTGATTTTCAAATCTGTCTCGAGCTTCTCCTTTTGAGATTTCAAATTTCCCAAAATTTCAAATAAATCGTCCAAATTTGCTCCGTATTTTTTGGCGAAGAACTTGCAAAATGGAACACTTGCGGCAAGGCATGATTTACATCAAAAATTTTTAATTAATGCTCATTACAGAAAGGAAGGGAGGCCGAAGCCGGCTTTAGTCGGACAAGGTCAAAATGACACCCGATAAGTGGAAACGGTTTATTTCCCCACAGACCATCTTCCCTTTGAAGCGCATATTATCCTTTGTGAATGAGATTTTTCTTGTTTTTATCTTATTCTTCCATTATTCTTTACTCTTCCAGCAGTATAACACTGCTGTTCAATTCTTAATATCTGCCGATTTTTTCCAACCTTATTTGGTTATACATATATACTCGAATGCTTCTGTGATTTTTTGAATATTTATCTATGAACACTTCATTGATGTGTTGATTTGCAATTATCAACTTCGGCCTATTGTAATTCTGTATGATACCTGTATAAAACAATACACTGTACCATTTGCTTTCTCATTAAAGTTATCTCGCTGTCTGCGTCTCTTAGCATCTAGAAAGTCTAGAGGATTTCCACATCAAAGGAATAAAGCCTTAGTAAAAAGCGAAAACCTAGTATTGGAAAAGCCTAGTATCGAAAAGGAAGCTTGATATGGAGGGAACGGATGGCAGATAAAAAGCGAAGACAGCAAAGCGCTGCGGAACTTCGGACAAAGTACTGCGGAAATCCTGTACCCTGAGATTGCAGGGTTTCCGCAGCGCTTTCGCAGGATTTCCGCCGGGTCACCTGCGGAAATCCTGCGAAAGCGCTGCGGAAGTTCCGGTCGGTTGTCTGAGAACGGCTAGAATCCCGCGCGGAAGCACAATTTGTACTGGATCATGGGGCGCGCTCTTCGCACCATTTGTAAGTATAGGTACGAGTGGGGGCGGGGTCCTCCCCACTGTAAATTCACGCCCCCAGCTTCCGGAGCGACCTTCTCAATTTCGCTAGCCGCCCTGACATCGCCATCGGCTACTCAGATAATCGCCGGGGGCAGGCGGCCATGCGAATTTTGAGCAAGCGCGCACCGGAAAAATAGTTCGTTGATTTTTTGCCGCCCGCTTGCAGAAATTTGGAAGAAAAGTGGCGAAATTAAAGACGAATGCTTGAAGAACAATCGCGGTTTCTTTATGGATTAGCTGCGGCGCAGTGGCCGCATTCTCGCGGACTTTCCGCGAGAATATGCAAAAATTTCGGGGGCCGCACGGTCCTTTGTGGAGGACCGCGCAACCCCCAGGTACTTTCCGCTGGGAGAAAGTACCTCAAACTTGAGTAATTAAACCAACGGTGACACTTCTGCCACACACAGTCTTACCTGCGCTCGACGTACGCACGAAAATGCCTAAAAAGAGTCCGAGCGCTTGCTGAAAGTTTGGCCAGCGCTCGCTGAAAGAAATTATTTGCCGAGCGCTTGCAAAGAATGCTGTTTGCTGCCCGCTGGCAGAATATGCGACCCTAAAGGAAGTGCCGCCCGCTGAAGGTCTAGCCACGCCCCAAAATTCTGCTGACCGCCTGCAGAAAAGCGCGAGTTTGCGGACCGCCTGCCCCCGGCGATTATCTGAGTAGGTGCAAACGCGTGACTTTTGATTGGAACCTGCAAGACCCCTCCTAAAGCTGGAAGAGTGGTTTCAGGGGGAAGAACCCCGCCCAGTTTTCTTTCCAGCGTTATAGCCTTTTTTCCCTGTTTTCGAACTCTCCATTGTGGATTTTCGAATTCAGCATAGCGAATAGGCCAAGATAAGCACAAATCTTGAACTCGACTTTTTGCCCGGACACTGCCTTTAAAACACGATGCGCAAAGCGCAAAGTTTGAAATGGCTTCATCCGTCCAGCAGGCGATTTAGCACCACTTTTGCACGGGTCATACTTGATCCACTTGCTCCACTTTGTCACACCGAAGCGGATTGAGTGGACACGTATGGTGGCCTATGCCTTCGGACCATCCACGCTGAGGCTAGCCAGACGTCCACAGGTACCTTCTGGAGCAATTTTGTCGCTTCGGAGTTCAGCTTTTACAATTGGACACTGGCGATTACTTAGCCAAGGGCTCGCAGAGATTTTTTGCTAACTTGGACATATGCTCTAGGCTGGATATGAAAGTCCACCTCGAAAAGCGCGAAAACACGCTTCTCCCAAAGCCGCCTATTTTGAATTTGGACGAGTCTAACAGCTATGGCCTTGTGAGGTGCAGAGTCGCGGGATCCTACGACCTTTGCTGTAGTTGCATGCTCCGCCACAGAGCAGAAATTCGGTGAGCGAGGCTTTCCCACTAGGGCGTAAATCCAACCAGAGCGGATTTCTCGCTTCTAGTCCAACCCTTTATGACTTCGCTCTTGTGCGATGGTGTGTTCGAGAAGAGGTCCGCTTTCGCGTAGCACTAAATCCCCACTACCACCTTGCCCGAACACACTCGGCAAAACTGAAAAGCTCGCGACATTGATATGGTATGCTAATCACACCGAATACGAAAATAGACCAAGTCCGAGCTCACAACATGCTGTCCCTGTCAAGAAAACTATCCCCAAACCCGTGCGTGCAAGCCATCTTAGGCACGCGCCATACTTGATCCGCTTCATCCACATCGCCGTTAATCAGTTTGCTGGCTTGATTAATAGCGAAGTGGATGAAGCGGATCAAACGGATCAAGTATGGCGCGTGCCTTACACGCATTTGGACAAGCTCGCAATTTCCCTCCCATCTTCGGAAGCGGCAAGCCAATGGTATAAACATAAGATAGCAACGACTCTGCGTCTACAACCTTGTCGGAGGTAGGGGACTATATGTCGCCGATAGGCACCACCTCGCGCGGGCTGCTACAAATCTATAATGCCTGTAGCGGAGCTGTGAGTTTTGTCGCAGATGTCCGCGGATGACCACCTCCTCTCGGTGACATATAGTCCTCCACCCCCTTAGCGGGAATTGTTCCACTCATCCGAATCAAATGAAAGGCCTTAGGAAATGCTGGTTTACGCCACTTTCGTGCTTTCTAAGTGGATTTGCGGGTTCGGCACGTCATATTACCTCAGATAAGAAAAAAATTTGGGTCAAGGATTTGCCGAGCCAATACCTTTGACACACGAGGCTGGTATCACGAAGCCAGTAGGTAGCGAACCGTGCAGCACTCGTTGATATCGATCTTACCCAGTTTAGAGAACCCAAAAAGCGAACCCACTACTGCGATACCAGTGGGCGTTACAATACAGTGGTTTTGCGTTTCATCAAGTTCACGAACCCAGCGTGTGGGAACAATATTCTCTAGTTTCCACTGGGTTCGCTGACCCACTAGCTTCGTGAATGCTAGTCTCTGAATCAAGACTACTCACTGGGTTCGTTGTGTACACTGAGCATGAACATATATACCTTTTCAATGCCATCAAGAACGCATACATCCCCTCTCTTAGCGGCAACAACAAGTTGACTGTCCTCCCACATCGTATCTCCATTGTCAAGCATACGCCGACGTTGAAAGAGCTCACGTGAATTTATGTCCTGCAGTTGTAGCATATGATTTACAAAGGAAAATGTAGGAAGTAGCAGTCACACCTGATAGAGCACCATTGTCTCCGCCTTAAAGCTTAAACGAGCAGCCAACTCCTTCAGTATTATCGTTTTGCCAGATCCTCTATCACCTAAATGGTGGATAACTGTCAAAAAAAAAACCCCCTTAAAAAGCAATATAACCTATAAGCGCAAAATCTCCTATAGAATGCGCCACAGCGAGATCAGCGATAGTGTTTTCAGAGGTCGGTGTGGACAAGAATTCGTTTTTTAACAAGGGTGTAGCTGCCTAAAATACTGCCAAAATCACCAATCGGCATCTACTTCCTCACTGAACTTGCCTGCATTTTTGCTGCGTTTAATGGAGCTGCTTTCGCAGATGGTTTCGAATCGGATAGCGAGATCTTGCCCTAAACAGATAACGTCGCGGAGTCAACTGAGTCTCACAATGTTAACCTACCCCACTGATGAATTTGGCTATGAAATCATCTACAAGTTTCACTTGATCTTCTTTGTACATGCTTTTACATGGGTATATGAAGTTGAACATTACCTCAGCCGAGTACATCGGGGCAGCATTCTAAACAAATGAACTCGATTGATCCCGTCAAAGCTTCCCTTATATATAAGATTGCAGTTTTGGTAAGACAGATACTGAAGTTGGCTCTGCAACGATTTGCTGCAGTATGATCTATTAACAAGAAAGGATGCTTAGTCGAAGTTGCTTGGGATATGAAGACATAGTTGTATAAGAATATTTCAATCTATCGTCATTCTGTGCCAATCTCTATGCTTTTCTGTGCTATAGTATAACACATGGCCCTGAACTGCTATACGACCTTTGACGAATAAAGAAATTCAGAACCTTTGCCTCAAGCTCTACCTATGCGCCACATCTTAAACCGCACTGCACCGAACGTCCTTTCTTGTAAAAACACATGGAACTCACAAGTGCAATTGACTATGAAGTGCGAATCGTAAAAGAACACGTACCCACATCCGCATGATTCTGGGAATGAGATCGATAGGAACTTGAGAGATGCCGAGATCGGATTGCGAGTTGATTGCGTAAATCATAGAAACCAAATCATTGACAGAGTTTGAGGGTACCTTGGGGGCTAAGTGATGGCACATACGTCGAGTGTCCTAGAAAAAGTTTACTCTCTTTCCACTGTAAGATGCTAGCTTTAAGTGAGAAGACAGAGAAGTATAGGGCGTTCGAAAAATCGTGATGATGGCGCGCGTCGTCACGATTTCACGATAATCTATACGAATATATTTTGTAAATAAAACCTCAGCACTAAGAAAGTCCATTTCTGTTTCGCCCCCCCCCCCCATCCAAATCATCCAAATAGGTAAATTAGAAAAACCTCGAAAGTTGGTTCCTGTACGTTGCGACATTGGAACCTCGAGCGTAAAGGCGGGTCCAGAGAGTTTCCTGTGAAGCGAGGGACCGGCAGACCAAGCGCTATTATGTGAAAACGTTCAGAGACTCTCTCGAGACCCATTTCGTGCAACTGTGCCGCTGAGTGGTCCTGACGAAGGAAATAGAATATAATAAATGCGAAACCGAATAGGATACTGCTGAAACCTCACTTTTGAAAGTTTATCATACTTGTCATGATGCATCAGGAAGCGACCGTCCTCCAGTTGCATCTCCCTGGATTTATCTTGATTATACATCTAGCACCATGATGGCCTTCGATTGCAAAAGTTGTACAGTGTCAGATTATTGAAAACAGACAGAGGAAGACGAACAACTAGATGTAATCAATTGCTCTAACACAACAAATGGCATGTCTATTTGCGAGTAACTTCCTTCTAAGCTCAAGCGAACCTGTTCTCTAGAAGATTATTCAGAATGGGAAGCACATTGCGTTCCGCCTTTTCTACACCATCGATGACCAATACGCGACCATGAAGAGCAGCTCGAACAGCGCACTATGGATATTGATACTCACAAGAAGTTCGCAGCAATTATTGCACCTACAAGGTCGGAATAATAGGCTGTTCCACCACGAATCTCTCTGCGTTGCTTTATGTCGGCTTCTGTCGTATCACGAGTTACTGCAAGGTACTCGTACTCCCGATTACACAATTCCTGCAGTACCACTGATGATAAAACAAGAGGCGCAAGGGACGTAACGAGTCCACCAAAGAGTCCGTTATTGCAAAATTACAAACTCACTAGGTATTGCAACACAATATCTGATCGAAAAGATCCTGGTACACCTATCAAAAATATGTCTTGCCCCAAGATTTCCTTTTGGAGCATCCATTTCAGATGTGCCAAAACATCACCAGAGAAATGTTGAAGAGCAGGACCTTCAATAATAGGATTAAAAATGATGATAAAAAGTGATTGACTCTTGAATAATTCGCTAAACTCCCTGGCTGTCTATCAAATGTACTAAATATCTAAAGAGAAGAAATCCTAACCGCTGCCCCTCGCAGGTACGAGTTCAGGTCGCGTAGCACCCACAATGGGAACTCGGAGTGATCCAACTTTCAGCACTTTTTTACGTATGTCTGCATTTATTTGAGCTGTAAATGTTTCTTTATCGTGATGAAGAAGAGAATACTGATAAGAAAAGTCACCTAACTTAGCTCGGCCTTCTAAAAAGAAATATATATATATAACCTGCAGCTTGAGTTTGTTTCAAATATGCTACTCCTAGCTGCGACCACCATTTTGAAGCGAGTTACGAGCTTTTAACTGTGCAAATTGGCGTACTACTCGATATGGAAGACTGCCTTTAGGGAATCTGTGCGAAAAAAGTGCTGGGATATCGAAATAGCATCGAATCGAATCTCCTCACTGACAACGAACGTAATGCAAGTGCATTAGCACTTGGATGGTATGTCGCGCTCCAAGTAGTCGATGAGTATGCAGATTTTGCACAGAAACAAGTTATAATTCACTTCAGATTGATGCGCCGCAATAGGAATATGTAGCATAGTAGAAGCATTTGAAGCTGATCCAGACATGTGTTTTTCTGTACAAAATATCGAGCTGAGTTTTCCTTTCAATACCTACCTGATAGCAAGCGCTTCGACGTTCTGCTCAACATAAATGCTACACAGGCAAGAAAGCTAAAAAAGCCTAGCTAATTTCCTTTGCAAAACAAAAAGATATGAAGACTTACTGTTCACTGATAGCGATCGACCTCAGTGGTTTACATGAAAACCTTCAAATTCAGTGCTGCATGATGCGAGCAAGCGACTGATCTAAAAGAAATTCTTGACAACCGCGGCAGAGTGCAAAGAACAAAGTACACTGCGCTGCTGTTGCATTATTGACTGTTTTTAGCAAAACACAACACTTGTGAGATAATCATTACTACAAGATCACGTTGCCATCATTTCTAGAAGGACCACTTCACCAGCCATTTCACAGCTTCCGAGACGTTTTTGTGTATCAGCAGAACACTCACTATATGGTAACGCGCATAAGGCGGGTGCAATTGCGACAAAAGTTCCAAGCGCGCGGAATGGAAATTTTGACCCACAGGAGTAGAAAACACTCATACAAAAATCACCTCAACTCTAAATTCAGTCTCTTCCAATGTCTAGATACTGTCATATGTATGGCAGAGAAACCATTTGAGTAAAGATGAAAGCCTACAAAATGCGGCTGCCGGGAGATGCTCGCTGTCGCGCCATCGTCACGATTTGAATGCTCTATACATCTCGGCGCTATTCCAGTATACCGACCCCAAAAATTAAAAATCTCGGATTTCGCTCAAACTCGTTATAGGGGGGTTATTGGATCCGCTGATGCCGAACATCATATTGATTCCGTGCGATAGCGCCATTTTCCGGGGGTTACGGTGGGTGTACGGTAGGAGGTCAAAATCACAAAATTCCCTGAAACTTGGTGGAGGGAGGTTATTTGACATGCTGAACACGAATATGATGTCCATTCGTTACGGTAGCACCTCATTCCGGGGTTACGGTGGGTATACGGTAAGGGGTCAGAATCACGATATCCGCTGAAACTTTGGGTATGGGGGTTATTTGACATGCTGATCACGATTATGATGTTTATTAGTTACGATAGTGCCTCATTCCGACGTTACGTTGGATATACCTTACCAATACCACCGCTAGATCGAGATTCAGGGCTTGAAATCTCAGTCACACGTCGGAAATTTCCTCCCCCTGCTTTGCTTAGGCAAAAGCCGCCGCAGGGTGTATCGCGCGCGGCGGTGGGTGTGGAAAGCAGTGAATGAGACCCTCTTACAGTATACCCATCGTAACCCCGGAATGAGGTGCTACCGTAACGAATGGATATCATATTCGTGTTCGGCATGTCAAATAACCCCCCTCCACCAAGTTTCAGAGAATTTTGTGATTTTGACCTCCTACCGTATACCCACCGTAACCCCCGGAAAATGGCGCTATCGCACGGAATCAATATGATATTCGGCATCAGCGGATCGAATAACCCCCCTATACCGAGTTTGAGCGAAATCCGAGATTTTTAATTTTTGGGGTCGGTATACTGGAATAGTACCTACATCTCTGACGGCGCCATCTAAATCTACTTAACGGCTGCGCGGGCGGTCGCGCGCGCCATCACTGCGTGCCGAGACCAAGGGCTCGCTTGCTGTCAGCATTGATTCCTTTAAAGCTGTTGCGCTACAAGAATGAGGGGGCGTATCGTTACGTGCGGGCTTCAAATTGGAAAACGTCGCGCGCGACAGGCTGCCAGTGACCAGACTCGGGAAATTCAGCAAGCATGATCCGCAGCACATAGTATTTCAGTGTCTCATCCTTTGTTGAGGTTCTCAGACTATTCTCATATTAGTTTTGCTTAGTTATTTGAAGTTTTGCCGTAAAAGTTGTAAAATGAGCACTTTGAAGGATAAAAAAGACACAAATTGTAGAAGGTAAAATACTAACAATATAGGAGAAGCACCGGTAATGTAGTGGTATAAATCTGACAAGTTTTCTGCACTGCTGCTTCTCGCGCGCGGTTACTTTAACGCCACGATGCGACGTTTTCCAATTTGAAGCCCGCACGTAACGAGCGCCCCCCCCCCAAGAATGATCTTCGCGGTTGATATAACAGGTGTTTCCTTTGAACAAGAGATGGCGCGTATGGCATTGCCTTTTAGTGATAAAAGTGTTGTAAGGACCATTAAGATATATAGGTCTACAATTGATTTTCGCATGTCGTTTTCGGAGTTCAAAAGCATTGTAAAGGATATTCGCTGACGACAGCCCCGTTTCGTGCATTTACACCATCGCGGGCGTGCCTTTTTGAAGCCTTCTAGCTTTACAGTAGGCTGCAGCTCGCGGGGTATTCGCAGCTCACAGCATGCCCGTCCTTTAACCTCTTTTTGTTGTTTGAGTACTTCACATCGTTTTTTCTCCGTAAGACAGACAGACAGAGACATGTAAGTGTGCTAAACATTTCAGTGGTCTCATTTGAGGAGAAGGCATGATAGCCATCACTGCTCATGAAGAAAGCACATTCTTTCCCCTAACTATGCCGGGACGATAGTTTACGATTCTGAAAATGTTTGTATGGTATATAAAAGGGAGCATGAATTCAATGACTGTACCAAAACTTTTTTTCTGCTCTTTCAGTATCCACAAAGCAGAACTTGTAGAATGCTCGACCGAAATAATTTCAAAGAAAAGGAGAATGAGTATCTGATGAGCAAGTGCCTGAACTGAAGATTAAAAGGAAAAAAAAAGGTGAGAAAAAGATGAGAGATGCGGAGGAGGTTAAAGGACAAGGATGCTGCGAGCTGTGAATTCCCTGCGCGCTGTAGCGTACTGTAAAGCTGGAAAGGCTTCAAAAAAGCACGTCGGTGGTGTAAATGGGGTGGAGGGGGTGGAAGACTATATGTCGCCGAATTTGGAAGAGTTCCGCGCGGATTCCCTGCAGGAACGCATGTCCGCGCATGTACCAGGGTGCGTAATTGTCGCAAATCCGCGGGGACCGCCCTTTTTCTGCGACATATAGTCCTCTATCTACCCTGGGGTGGAGGACATTAGGTTGCCGAAAGAGGGCGGTATCCGGTCATTTGCAACAAATACGCACCCTTGCACATACGCGGGCATGCGTTCCTGCAGGGAATCCGCGCGGGACTCTTCCAAATTCGGCGACCTAATGTCCTCTACCCAAAAATGCACAAAACGGGGCTGTCGTCAACGAATACCCTTTAACAGACGCTTCATCTAATGCGTTTGCCAGAGGAGCTAACATGGTCAAGAGATTTCATGCAAATGTGGGTAAGTAAACGATATTGCTAATGTTCCTGTTTGCTACATATATCTTGATTTTTCGAAAACATTAAAAATAGCAATTTTCTGCTTATAAAAGAACTTTCTTCTCTTTGCAACTTTGTTGGGGCTAATATTGGCTATATTATTAATATTGGCTTTGAGTTTGACACTTTTTCCATATTTAATTCCAAAATGACACCTGTCGATCAAATCATCCAGAGTGGCCTTTCACGGACTAGTTAGATAAATCTGTCACTGTGCAGAGCAACCGATGTTACAACTTTGTATTTCTTTTCATTTAGCGGAATAGCAGAATCATGTTGAGAAGGAAAAAAACTTTTCATCCTGCAACTAAGAGACTCTAAAACACTACACATTGTTTGATATGGGTGAATTTGCTTCCTTTAAGCAAATAGCCAATCATCAAAGGAGATAGTAGGGTACTGACTGACTGATACAAGAAAAATTGCCTCCAAGACTCTGGTTCACGATGAATCATAGATTCTTGTAAGGAGCCAAGTGTTGACCCTACGGGACCGGCCATACTATTCTAGGGGGGGGGGGGGCAGGCGTTATGGAGCAAAGCAGCGCCGCATTCCCCTGCGGTATATCCTGAGGGCCAGTTGCGTTGCGTCGCCTTTAATTGCAGCCGCAGGAGTACACCGCTCCTGACAACAAAACTGAGCCATTTCCTATTGCTGCGTCTTGAGAAGATGTGCAAACTGCATGAATGCAATAAAGATATTTACGGAAAATAGATGGATTTTACGGATGCAAAGGCTGAATCTCGATGAGAATAAAAGACGGATTTCAAGTGTAACAAGAGAATTAGTAGAGAAAAGGGACAGAAAATTTCATTACTGACTTTCCAAGCCTTTATTTCAAACATTTCTTCCTCAGAATCTATTTTTTCACCCTCAAAATTCGTTTAACTTCCGCATTCTGGTCTCTTTACAGAAGAAGAATTTCGCGAATGACTTGATCCGCTGGGTAATGCTAGCTCCTCTGCGGCTGCAATTATAATTGTCTTGCGACTCCAATTAGGAGCGACACAACGCAAAGGGCCCTCAGGATATACCGCAAGCGAATGCGGCGTAGCTTTGCTCCATAACGCCACGCCGCCTATTCTAGGAGGTGATTCCTGCGACTCCTGTAATTCCTGCAGTTCTCGTGATTTCTCGACTTCCAATGTGCCGCACTACGGAGCGCTTTGCGAATTTCAGTACACATTGTTTTTTCGCAATATACAGTGTTACGGGAACCGCAGCAACTACAGGAATCGCAAGGATTGCAGGAATCACAGGAATAGTATGGCCGGTCTCTACGAAGGCCAAAGTGCATCGGGTGGTTTGAGAATAGATAGTATCGATGGTTTTAGGCTCTATAGTGGCCTTAGGCGAAATAGCGCCTGGTAGAGTGTGTCGTATAGAACACATAGCTAATAAGCTTTATTGAGACAGGCGACCTGCACACGTTGGTGCTGTGGTAGAATGCTAACGATAACAGGCGTGGCTATATAAGTTACTAGGCATCTGGGCAGTAAACAGACTTATATCACAGCAGATCATGCTTATGGCATGACCTTTACGGTACTTATTCAATGAGATACAGGCGAAGTGATATAGAATTGAGGAGGTGCCGACAATATCGGCACAGATAGTATGTGAAAGGAACCTATATTCACCAAACTTTAAACTTCGAATAAAGAAAAGGTTCCACTATACAAAAAAACTACTTTGTGGCGCACATAGTCCAGAATGTTGGGGAGGGGGACGGTCAGGAGGTACATACGATCGGCGCGAATTTTTCGCGAAACGACGCCGCAACGTACTTCAACCAATACAACAGCAGCATTCCAGGCACAATGTTACTTATGGCATTGAATCGTGTATCTGCCTCCACCTCCACCCCCGTGTTTTTGCCGCCGGGAGTCTCTGATATGGGGAGCTCTATGGGCCAAGATCGGGACGCGGCGAAGCGGCCGCCGCGCGCGGCGTAGCTCGTGACGTGCAGCCTTTGGGGAAGATCTCCGATAGCGAACGGCCATTTGCCTGAAATACTCATGCACTCGACGAGAACAGCTACGCATGCGGTGTTGATCCTATCTGGGGATGGTATTGATTGAATACTGATATTGAGTTGCAAGGAGA